AGAGCCCATGGGAAGCAAGTCAGGGTGTATCAATTTGTCAACCGTTAAGGCAGATGTGGGTTTCGTAAAGTAGTAAATGGAATTCTTTCTACTCCCTCATGGTATATTCACAAGACAGGTATCACCCTGCAGCAGTGTCGAAGGTAGTCACAAAGCATTGCTCTGAGTTCTGTCTAATGGGGGAGGGTGTCTGCCTTGGGTTCCCCGTTTCTAAAGTAGGGCTGGTAAAAATCTGTCTCTGTGTAGTCCTCCCTATAGGGTTGTTCCACGAGTGGAATGAGATGAGCCACAGCAGTCAGCTATAAAGGAAGAGCTATGCACAAGTACCAAGGCCAGGATTCATGAGCAAGATGCATTCAGCGTAAATTGCTGCCTGATGCTTACTCCTGGTTGGAAAGAAAGACCAAGGGTGTGCTTATAATAGAAAAGTAGAAATAAGAAATGGAAAAAGACCCCGACTAGCAGGTAGTGGCCTTCACACAGGCTGAGAAACAAGTTCAAGTGTGGCTCAGGTCAGACCCCAGGGTCCTGGGAGCCAGGGGTCTAGATGAAGAGAAGCAGCACCAGATCCACCAGTAGTGACAGGGGCTGAAACTAGTAAGCAGAGGGCAAGACAGTTTTTCAACACAGACCTTGGGGGTGAGAGCACAGAGTCTATGTTTGACTGGCTTATGGCTAGTTCTCACCTCTGATTTTTGTTGGAGATTCAGCATTCCTAGAAATCTACTATAATGGATGAGTGGTTTCAGTGTTTTGTTTTGTTTTTTAAATCACACACCCTTAGCCAGGCGGTGGTGGCGCACGCCTTTAATCCCAGCACTCGGGAGGCAGAGGCAGGTGGATCTTTGTGAGTTCAAGGCCAGCCTGGGCTACCAAGTGAGTTACAAGAAAGGCACAAAGCTACACAGAGAAACCTTGTCTCGAAAAACAAAAAACAAAAAAACAAAAAACAAAAAAAATCACACACCCTTTTTGATAGGACATCAGGTTATTTATGCAGTTCATATATATTGTGTGCATTCTGTAGCACACTGTTAGACATGGATTTTTAAATGAGATTTAAAACTTCAAAGTAAGTTCAACTTTTAAATAATTTACTTCCACACTTCAGTGACTGCCTGATGGTTGCCTTAGACTGGGAGGATAAAAGCATCTTAGTTGGTGAGGACAAGGTACAGAATGACCCTGTCCTGTGTGTCCGGGGTTTTCCCCCTTCCACGAAGTGCCTAGCTTTTTCTACCCTAGGAGAGTACAGTGAATCTCAGTCACAACAGTCTCAGTGGAGATGCTCTGGCCAGCAAGTACTGTAGAAACTGACTGTAGTATTTGAATTCAGTCCTGGACTATGCATGTGCTGAAAAACCATCAACCTGCCTCAACACCAGTTGCTGTTTCCAGTAAATAATATATAAATGCCTTGTATTAGTGGGAACAGTGGAGGGCCATAGTGTGTGTGTGTGTGTGTGTGTGTGTGTGTGTGTGTGTGTGTGTGTGTGTGTGTGTTATAAACAAGTGCAAAACATAGTATTCTAAAGATGCTGTTATCCTAGTAGTGTTAACCTCGTTTGTATTGGTAGAAGCAAGCATCTTTACATGTACTACCTTGTTTAATATGTTGACGTTGAGCTGAGGGGAAGTTGACTGCTCCTAGACGTTCTGTGAGGCCATCTACTGAGTTGTCAAGTGACTACCTACTTGTTCCCTTCCTTTCACCACCTCTGGAGGGAAGGCTGTGTCTTCATTCTTCCTCCATCCGTTTGTGCCTCTAGCATCCTGTACCATGAGCAGTCACAATTTAGGACATGAGTGGACACCTAAGAATATACAGGGAAGGTGTGTTTGTGGGGTGTCTGTCAACCAAGGTTTATTGAATTCATCTTCTGTGCAGAACATCGATGAGAGACTTTGGAGATTCGAAACTTAGTTTAATCTTCTTGTGGTTAAGGACTTGGAATCTGGTCTGTGGAGGTGGAGGGTGTAGACTAGCGTGTGAAGAGCAGGGCAGGTTGAAGTCCACCAGGCTTCTGTGGACCTTCCGTGCAGGGCTTGTTGTGTCAGGTTTCCTTGGCGTGTCCTCGGCTGCTTGCAGTGCTCAGCCATGCAGGTAGCCTCAGGAATGTGGCTGAGCCTTGACTGGCAGACTGCAGGCCAGGATGGCTAGTCCAGAGGAGATGGCCGGCCTTAGCCGTCTAATGGTGTCGTACAGAAACAGGGTTCGGGTAAGTGTGCAATCCTTGTTCTCACCGTCTCTGCCCTCACATGATGCTGCTTGGAAGAGAATGTTGAGAGCATACTATCTCAGAGCTCGAACCGTTGCAGGCAGAATTGGACACAGCATGGATTATAGCACCTCCCCAAACCCTGCCCCCCTTAATGTCCCATTGGTTCCTTGAAAAACAGGAATTTATGTAATAAGCCCTGCATAGCAAACTTTCCTGTTGGGGGTGGGGGCAGTAATTGTTGGCAAAGTTAGTATACAGCTCTATTGCTCAGAGTGACCTGAAATGTCCTCAGAAAAATATGTAGTGTGATATTTTGATAAGTAAAGGATTGCTATGGCAAAAACAAAAACAAAATAAGTAAGTCCAAGCAGTCAGTAGATACTAACCCTGAAGTTAAGTCAACTGTTTTTAAACGTTTTTGAAGATTCCAGTACTATTCTGTCTTCTTCAGTCCTGTTGAAAGTGCCCCTTCCCTGTGTGTCCTTGCCAGGGTCTGGCAGACTCTTCCTGGGCATTATAGAGCTGTACCCCCTCCCCCTGTTAGCTGCAGGCAGTCAGGAAGCTGATCTCTGGGAAGATCTCCCCCAGACTCCCCTTTGTTATTAACTAAATGTGACAGGACAGGAGTCAAGCTTCCTCTCTTCCAGAAGTTTCATCAGAGCTTATCTGTGTGTCTATTGTGTTCAGAGAATGAAATTGTCATGATGGAATATTGTGCAAATGCCCAGACTTCCAACATGGAGACGGCATTACGGAATGCAGGTTTGCAGAGCTGGCCGCTTGCCAGCCTACCCCAGGCAGACCGCTGCTTTTCAAGAGAAGTGGAAATGGTGCTCCCTGGTGTTGGTGGACATGACAGCCAACACTGGAGCTCAGGGTGATGGGGTGGGGGAGAGGATGACAGGGAGATAGAGACAGCAAGGTTTGAAAATCTGGGGGTGAGATACACCATTGAAAAAAGATTAACTCTTTTGGAGATGTTTGGAGTTCAAGACCTGTCCCCTCATAATAGGCCTTGAGTTGTGATAGATCATAAGTAGGAGTATAGAACAGAGTCTTGGAGACAGAGACAGACTAACACTGCTACATACCTGCCTGGCATCCAACCAGAAAGCTCCTGTTGGGCCATGTCTGATCCGCCCTTGCCATGCACCCTGCCAAAAGAACTTGACACATAGCTGTTGTGTTGCAATCCTTGGGTGGAATGTGGTGCAGAATGCATTTTGAAATGTGGGTTTCTGGGCTCTCTTGGCCTTCTCTCTGACTTTTGTCTTTAGAAAGGGAGATTACCACTACACGCCTTTTGTTTCCCATCTCTTGTAGAGAAAAGACATGAGTGTGTCAGGGTCATGTGGAAGTCTGACCCTGTATTGTTCTGCTCTGGTACAATGGTTGGCACATGAGTGCCTTTATTCCCTGTCAACAGCATGAGGATGTGGGCATTGTGGCTGCCTCCTCGGGTGACCACAAATCTAGCTAGAGTCTTGTTGTGGTCCAAGAGGGGCCACAGAGTATTTGGGCAGCTAAGCCTGGCACTCAGTTAGCAGAGAAGGCCAGAAAATTGAGGAGCCATGTGCATAGCTCTGCTCTGAGGATTGTGAGATACCCAGAATACATTCCTGGATTTGGGATTAGGTCTCTCAGGGTCCAGTCGGGCTGCCAAATGAATAGGTAGCAACCGTGCTGGGGCAGAAAGCTTAAGACAAGGTACTCCTGGAGCTAAGTGTTTTCTCTTCCCAGATAGGCTCTCCCAAACTCCAGAGTCACACTAGGCCGTCCTTGTCTTCATCAGAGGACTGACCCGTTCTCCCCTGCATTTGCAGTTTGCACATGCTCGCCATTTGTGTGTGTTTTTCTGTCCTATCCACACCCCCACTGAATAGGAGCATCACTCAGGGTGCCTTCTTACCCTGCTTCCTTTCACAGTCTCTCTGGACAGAGTGCGCCCTCTTTTATAGGCTTAGAGAAGTTCTTGAATTTAAATGTTTCGTTTTATGGCAAGTTAACTTTCTCGAGAGAATAACTGTTTTCATATTTATGTCTGATGCAATGACTCTCAAGGTATAAAGGTCTTAATTATTTGGTGTTTTGTTTTATTTTTTCTTTTTTGGAATGGGTCTTGCTAGGTAGCTCATACTGGCCTCATACTCACAATCCTGCCTTTTCCTCTCAAGTGCTGAGATTAGAAGTGGGTGCTGAATGTCTGTTTGGGATTTTGGTTCCTGAGTAGGGCAAGATCCTACTTTATCTCCTTATTCTGTGATCCTTTGGGCCCAGTAATACAGAATGTCTCACTTTGTGATGTTTATTTTACCTGGGGGGGGAAAAAAAAGGAAGGGCTTTGTTTTTGAGGCAAGTTGAAAACTATATAATAGAAAATTCAGTTGTGCTTACTTATTAGAGACATAAGTGCTGTTTTGTTTTTGTTTTTGTTTTGTTTTTTGTTTTTTTAAGAAAAATGCTATTTTTCCTACCTCAGTTTGAGAACTTTTATACTGAGTTTATTGCTACTGTTCAGAGCCTGTTGCATAAGCCTAGCCTGGTGCCTTGAGTTGGATGCTCAGAACCCATGTAAAGGTGGACGGTGAGAAGAGACTGCAGAGTCATCTTCTGACCTCCACATACGTGCTCTGGCATAAATACCGTGGTATATTTGCCCTCCTCACAGATAACTGTTAGGCTGTTCAGATTCAAAACTGTATCTATATGATCCTTGTTTAACAGTAAGTTTTCCAAGTGGCAAGTACTGTATTTCTAACATACTGTTTTGCTTTACAGAATTCAATTCGCCATAACCTGTCCCTTCACAGTAAGTTTATTCGAGTACAGAATGAAGGAACTGGAAAAAGTTCTTGGTGGATGCTCAACCCAGAGGGAGGCAAAAGTGGAAAATCCCCTCGGAGAAGAGCTGCATCCATGGACAACAACAGTAAATTTGCTAAGAGCCGAGGACGAGCTGCCAAGAAGAAAGCATCCCTCCAGTCTGGGCAGGAGGGTCCCGGGGACAGCCCTGGGTCTCAGTTTTCTAAATGGCCTGCAAGTCCTGGGTCCCACAGCAACGACGACTTTGATAACTGGAGTACATTTCGTCCTCGAACCAGCTCAAATGCTAGTACGATCAGTGGGAGACTGTCTCCCATCATGACAGAACAGGACGACCTGGGAGATGGGGATGTGCATTCTCTGGTATATCCGCCTTCTGCTGCAAAGATGGCTTCCACTCTGCCCAGTCTGTCTGAAATCAGCAATCCTGAAAACATGGAAAACCTTTTGGATAATCTCAATCTTCTCTCATCCCCAACATCTTTAACTGTATCAACCCAGTCTTCGCCTGGCAGCATGATGCAGCAGACACCTTGCTATTCGTTTGCACCGCCAAACACCAGTCTGAATTCACCCAGCCCAAACTACTCAAAGTACACATATGGCCAATCCAGCATGAGCCCCTTGCCCCAGATGCCTATGCAGACACTTCAGGACAGCAAATCCAGTTATGGAGGATTGAACCAGTATAACTGTGCCCCAGGACTCTTGAAAGAGTTGCTGACTTCTGACTCTCCTCCCCACAATGACATCATGTCACCAGTTGATCCTGGAGTGGCCCAACCCAGGATCCTGGGCCAGAGTGTAATGATGGGCCCTAATTCAGTCATGCCAGCCTATGGAAGCCAGGCATCTCATAACAAAATGATGAACCCCAGTTCCCACACCCACCCTGGACATTCACAGCAAACGTCTTCAGTCAATGGACGCACCCTGCCCCATGGGGTGAACGCCATGCCTCACACATCTGCCATGAACCGTATGACCCCTGTGAAGACGTCTTTACAAGTGCCTCTGCCCCATGCCATGCAGATGAGTGCCCTGGGCGGCTACTCGTCTGTGAACAGCTGCAATGGCTATGGGAGGGTGGGTGTCCTCCACCAGGAGAAGCTCCCAAGTGACTTGGATGGAGTGCTTATTGAGCACTTGGACTGTGACATGGAATCTATCATTCGGAATGACCTCATGGATGGAGATACCTTGGATTTTAACTTTGATAATGTGTTACCCAACCAAAGCTTTTCACACAGTGTCAAGACTACAACACACAGCTGGGTGTCGGGCTAAGAGTTAGTGTGCAGGTAAGTCCATTCACTCTGGTATCAAAAGGCCTTTGAAAAGGGGACACAGTAGTACCATGTGTCTTCCCAGGTTAGACCTTTTTAAAAAGAATTAAAGACAGAGTCTTACATAACCCGGCCTCTCCCCCGCACCTGGGTTATGTGGTGCCGGGATCTAACCAGGACACCTCTCCTGCAGAGCTACACCCCAGGATCACGTTAGCTTTTTTCTAATGTCTCCTAACTGTGCTTTGCAGAATTGTGCTGTTCACTGCCGCCGACCCCAGCTTATCAGTTCTCTTTTTGAGGCTAAGCTAGAGTGCAGATTCCTTTAACAGCTTATAAGATTGCCTTTTCACTGTGGGATGGCTACATCCTTTCTACCACTTCTTGAATAAATGAACACATTTGTTACAAATCAGATGCCAAAGGTCCCCCCACTTTGAGGAAAATGAGGAATTTTCCATTTAATGATTTTGGAGCTGTTTGAGAAGGCTGTGACTGCCCCTACCCCCAAGGGTGCCTGTCACTCTAGTTGGTTAAATACAATTGAATTGAATCTGACTGTATTTCATGTGTGTGTTTCCCCCCAGGCTGCATTTAAAGCACTGCAGAGTGTCTGACAGCAGGAGCTGAGAGAAGCAGTCCAAAGATGCCCTTCACCCCTCCTTTCAGTTTTCTTGATTTAAAAAACAAAAAAAAAAAATCCTTTTTTCCTCCTTTCATCAGACTTGGCAGCAGAAAGCCTTTCCTGTGCAGGATGTTTGCCCAGCGTTTGCAGGTTATGTGCTCCTGTAGATAAGGACTGTGCCATTGGGAATCATTACAATGAAGTGCCAAACTCACTACACCGTGTAATTGCAGAAAAGACTTTCAGATCCTGGCGTGCTTTCAAGTTTGTATATATGCAGTAGACACAGAATTGTATTTGTGTGTGTGTGTTTTTTAATATCTACTTGGTCCAAGGAAAGTTTATACTCTTTTGTAATACTGTGATGGTCTCATGTCTTGATAAACTTTGCTTTGTACTACCTGTGTGTTCTGCTAAAGTGATGAATCACGAACTAAGATCTCCATTCTGCTCCTCTGCTGAATGACATTGAACGATGTTAAACCTGTTCATCTTGCCACAGGATTCATAGGAGAACCAAGTAGCCTGTGATCAATCTGCTGAATAAATGGACTTGTCAGACTTTGGGGCAGAATAAGATTAAGTGCCAGCTTTGTACAGGTCTTTTCTATTATTTTTGTTGTTGTTTATTTTGTTATTTGCAAATTTGTACAAACACCTTAAAATGGTTCTAATTTCCAGATAAATGACTTTTGATGTTACTGTTAGGACTTGATCATTTTGGAGTAGATATTGAACTGTAATGTTTTCTTAAAACTAGAGTCTACTTTGTTACATTGTCTGCTTGTAAATTTGTGGAATCAGAGGTATTTGGGGGCAGCATTCGTAATTTTCATTTTGTATTTCTAACTGGATTAGTACTAATTTTATACGTGCTTAACTGGTTTGTACACTTTGGGACGCTACCTGATGATGTTTCTGACTAATCTTAAATCATTGTAATTAAATTAGTACTTGCATACCCAACGTTTCTGGCCCCGTTTGGGCAGGAAAGTGATGTATATTTACAGACACTTTGTGTTTTGTATGTAGAAAAATTCAATATGTTTTTATGTGTGTATTTTAAAGAAATTTCACTTGCTTTTATTACCCTGTGAATTGTGTGCAGCATAGCATCAAGTCTTGAGATGGATGCTCTGTGTCAATGTTCTTACAGCTCCTCTGGGAAGGCCCTTCCAAACAGATGCCCTGTGTCACGTTGTCACAGTTCCTGAGTGGAGGCCACAACAGACTGATGCCCTGTTCCTGCGGGGAGGCCTCCTGTCTGTAGATCAGGAAAGGAGAACTTCATCTAGAATGATGTTCTTTTTGTCGAACTGGGGTTTTCCTCATACTCTGAGCTCTTCATTTTTGTCCAGGTTGGAGGTGGTTTTATGGCTGTGTCCTGAGGAACCATGTGATTTCTCAGTCTCCATCCCTGTTCTCTTTGGCTCTAAACAGTGTACATCTTAAGGAGGAAGTTTGAAAACAGGACTTCAGTGATTCATGGAGTGCTTTGCATTCTTAACTACAGATAGTGGCTACCACATGGAATAGAACTAGTTAACAATTGAGACAATAAACTTGAAAACCAACCAGCCATAAGTGTACATTTATTTTGAAATATTTAGCTTAAGAATTTGAGAGGTTTTTTGGCCTTGAGCAGCCTAACTTGTATCTCAGACATTCAATTTTAATACATTCTAGTTACCTGTAACTGACAGACCAGGATAATTGGTTTTGCCTCCATTCTATCCATCAACATTTCCAAGTCCTGTTGAATGCCCGAAGCTACCACAATTTGAGGAATATGTGTACAGTAGCATCCCTCTTTGCCTTCTTGAGAACACAGCCCAAATCAGATTTACTGTTGTTAGTATGTTACTCATCTCTCCTCTTGCTTAGTGCTTTCTTTGTGCACATTAACAAGATTTCACAGCTGACCAGCTTGTCATAAGCTTCTTGCTGTGACTTTGGTTTTGGTTTTGGTTTTGCTACTGCTCTCTGATCATCCTCTTTGAGCACTCCAAAACAGGGCTCATTTTAGAAACCTGAGTTCCTCCAAGCAGAGCCTTACTGGTGTCAAAGAACTCGGGTCTCACTTTGCTGTTTCATGAACCATTTCCTCACCGTTAAAGAAAGAAAGAGCCTCTGCATTTAATCATTCAGCACGGAGGCAGCTACAGCCGTAATCAGTGGTAGACTTGCAGGATGGCGCTGAGTGACTTGGAGGTGTTTCTTCCTCCTGAAGCTGTATAAATCTCAAACCCCAGTTTCCTTAGTGTTAAGATCATAACATGAATCATGGGTAGTTGTCAGGGGTACAGTGAAGTCCAGGAAAGGCTTCTTGTCTCTTAAAAATAAATATCATGTGGCCTCTGGGAGTCCTTTTCTGTAAGAATGTTCACTTCCTAGAGTACCTGGTATATTATTGTACATGATTGCTTTGTGAAATGATTTCACCTATGCAGCCTTGGTTGATTTATTTCCTTCGGTTTGTACTGTTATTCAAAGCATATTGTATTATAGAGCTATTTGGATATTTTAAATATAAAGATGTATTGTTTCCATAATGTAGATGTATGGAATATATTTAGGTGATAGATGTATGACATGGAAAGTTCTGTTTCAACAAACTGACTGAGTCTAAGTTAATTAGCAAATATTATCCCATTGACCAGTAAAACCTGGAATATAAAAATAAGGGATAAAGACACTTAAAGACGAAATAGTTCCCCAAAAATGTACAATTTGAACTTGTTCAGCTGCTGAATATATAGCTCCTTTCCCCCTAAAAACCTTGAAGTTCTTGGTTACAGCTCTTAAAAGTTAACTAATTTTAAGTGAAAATTGTCTCTGTGGTTTCAGCTGGGGAGTGATCATTCAGTGTAGTGTGCATTGTGGTTTATGCAAACAACACAGCCTGGCACTGTGGCCAGTGATAGCCTTGTAAGTCCCATCAGGATAGAGTCACACCCTCCCACACACTTTACCACCTAGTTGAGTAACAGTGCAGATTCCATGTTCCTGTTCCGATACTATCTGAGAAGTGCCTGATGATGATGATGTACTTACAGATACAAGAACAATCTTACTATAACTGTATAAAGCCATAAATGTACATAAATTACCTTTCAGTGGCTTGGTGTGTTTCTTTCCTTAGTGTTTAAAGGAAGCTCTTGATCAAGAAAGTTTTTATATAGCTACCAAAGCACTTGAGTTAGACCTTGTCAAGCCCGGTGTTAATGGTTTATTCAAATCTGACATTTCCTTTGGAGGAAAGAGGAAACCATCCCCAAAGGACCAAAACATGGCCCTCGATGGGAAGAAGTGCAATATAAAATTAACCAACAATCTAGAGCAGTGTTTCTCAACCTGTGGGTCATGACCCTTTGGGGATCGAATGACCCTTTCACAGGGCTTGCATATCAGATATTTACATTACGATTCATAATAGTAGCAAAATTAGTTATGAAGTAGCATATATAACGAAAATAATTCTACGGTTAGGGTCACTATAATGAGCTATATTAAAGAGCTCCAGAAGGTTGGGAACTACTCACTGCTCTAGAGTCAGGCATGGTGGCATAAGCCTTTAATCCCAGCACTTGGGAGGCAGAGAGGCATGTGCATCTCTGTGAGTTCGAGACTAGCCTTATCTACATGGAATGTTCCAGGACAGCCAGGACTGAAAAAACAATCTAGAGATTTTTTAGTCTTGGAATGCCTAGATCCTCATTTTAGGCCAATCATTATAAGCATGTGAAACCTTATTTTAAACAGACTGAAGACAAGTTAGGAGGGATGATCCTTTGAGTGTACATCTTCCCCAAAGAGGAGGATCTCAATGGTTGCAGAGCAGAGGTTTCTATGTATTTGCTCTTTGAAAAAAAAAATCGCCTGAGAAATGAATTAAGTTCCAGTTAACATAGTTAAGACTATATTTTCAAACGAGCTCTGCTTGCGTTCTGCTCGCTACCAGAAAAGCAAATGGATGAGTTAAAGTAACAAAGAAATGGGGAATTGTTGAGTTTTATGTTTAGACAGCAAAAGGTCAGCTTGGGGTTCCCCCCACCTCTCTCAACAGAACCTTTTCTTTGTGGTACCTGAAAGCCCAGTATGTAGAAGTGAAAACCAAACAACAAACTGTATCTAACCTGGGGCTCATGGACACATGAGTTTTGAAAGATTTTGATCTGGACCAAAGGTAGGCCTCCTTGATTGGTCTCGACAAGGGGAACTCGGAAACTTGCCAGCTCCATGTAATGTTGAAGATCAATCCCTAAGTAGACATTTCTTGCTAAGTGGCAAGAGACAGCAGGATTTTCAGCAGCACTTAGGTCCTGCTGTGGGTGGAGAGGCCTGTGGAGTCTCTGTACTTGTGTGCCTAGGGTTGCTTCTTGACCTGGGGACTAGCCACCCTACAGAACTGTCTGGGCTGCAGTTTCTCCATAGCTGAAATGACCTGTCACTGGCAGAACTAGTTAATCTCACAGTAGTTGATAAGGTTGGGTTAGATGGGGCTGAACCAAGATCTGTACTGAGGACAAATCTCCGAAGTACACATCCTCACATACACACTGACCCTTAGGTCATCTGACAGTGCCCAGTACAGGCCTTACAGCTACACTCTGATGTAGGGTTGCATACACTTAAGTCATAATGCAAGTGTAAGAAATACTACTGCAACCTCTACTCAGATTGTCTCCTCCCCCCCCCCCCCCCCCATAATCAAGTAAAGACAACCTAGACAAAAGAAAAGGGACTTTAGCGATAATGTGTAGACATGGGCTTAGGGATGTTTCCAAGTTTAAAAACAAGAAGGAAAGGCGAGGGGAGTACATAGGAAACCAGACATTAAAGGGAGCCACCAGCGTGAGAACTGGAGCCCCATGATCTTCTAACCCACAGTGTTGGGTGTCTAGAAGTTAGGAATTTGGGGAGGTGGAGTCTTTGTAGACCATGTAGCGTTTGAGCCAGCTGACTACTGAGATTACAGGTGTGTGCCCTTACACAACCTCATGGACTTGGAATAAATCAGCAGAGGGTGTGCTGGTGCCTAAGGAACTGAGAAGGCATTCAAACTGCCTTCAAATATTCTTCATGAACTCATACCAATGACAGTTTAGGGCCCTTAACATGATTATAGTGTTTACAAACTCCAAAAATGAAAGTCTTGAGTGTATTGGTAGCCACCAACTAAAGGAATAGACTTACAGCCTCCAGGAAGAAAGAAGGCAACCTTGCAACAGACTAGTTCCCTCTGGTATTGGAGAGACTTTGTTGTCTAGCACAGGCTAGCTTAGAAGCCACGATTCTCCTGCATCAGCCTCCTGGGTGTTCGGGAGATTTTCCTTCATCCTGGCAAGGGAGGCATGGTAGGTAAGAAGTAGAAGAGGAGCATCTGATACTGCTGGCATTCCCTCCCTGTACTTATGCCGGACCCCCAGCCCGTTCAGAGCAGTCCTCTTCCGGTCACTCCTAATGGCTCTCGCAGGCATAGCCCGAGAGGCATGTTTCACTGATGTTGGCTGATTCTAAGTGTGCAGCTGCTCTTCCGTACTGAGGACAGAACTCCATCCAGGCGTCGTGCGTGTCAGGCAAGAAGAGCTCAACCACTGACTTACACTCACAGCCAATCCTAAGTGATTTGAAATTCAGTCACATTGAAGGAGATGAACCATCAGTATGTAAATAGATGCCATGTTGGGCTCTTAGAGTTGCTGGAGTTTCTATAGTCTTGGGGTTCATTTACTGAAATTTCTGCCTGAAGGAGAGGACCTTAGATGAGCCAACCGTTTGGAGTATGTTTCTTGCTAGACCATTTTAAACTAGAGTTTTCTAACTGATGAAATGAGACAGATGTCTATTTGCACTTCAGTGCTTTAATTCAGATATGCCAGAGATGCCCTTTACTCTGGAAACACTTGGGGCATCAACATTAAAAAAAAAAATGTGCTTGGATAGCAACTTCCTGCCGATGGATAGGTGACCTGCCTCAGGTTTGATGTGAGGATTAGCAAGGCTGACGTAATGTCTTCCAGAGACTTCCTGTGTCAGGGAGAAAGACTGAATACTGTTTGGCTTTACCTTAGGTCATGGTAGACTTTGAGGATTTGTTTCCTTAGTGGGCCCCTGGGTGGTCTGCATCTCCCCACGTTATAAGGAGCAAAGTTGACTGGTTTGTTGGTTCATTTCCAGTGTTTTCTGTTTTCATTTGCTGCCTCCATCTTGAGCAAGGGATTGTGTAAACAGTTTACCAGACCCATACTTCAGGACAAATTAATAGAATTATGCTGTCTTGGGGACTCTAGAAGTACCAGTTATGAACTATAAACCTATTACATCCCAATTATGAAGTAGTGGTATTTGCTACCCCAAAAGTTCCTCACTATGGGCCTGTACTAGACACTTGGGGCCACTTTGGCTTCCTCTATGTTGCCCTTGCTCCAGTCTAGAGTAGACTTGGGATCTCTGTCCCTATGTGACCTCTCCCAGTAGTTCTTCCATACAGTAGAGAACCAGGAGACGAGAAAAGAAAGCTGGTGTTAGGGTCGCTGTGGGCAATGGGAATTTTGCATGTTGATTTTAAATATCTTAATAATGCAGTTGTATGTACTTACTATTAAATCACCTGTGATGTCAGCTGAGGAGGACTGAGGTGAGTTTGGGGCCAGCCAGCCCAGGCTACAATGTGGCCCTGCCTCTGGCCACAACAAAAACCAATGAAGTCATTTTGCAAAACTCAATTGGCTTGATGGACTTGACATTGAAGAGTATTGGTTATTTACATGTTTTTTCATGTCTTTTGTGTTGGCATGATAATAAGCGCACAGATGTGGGCATGCCTGGTTCTATGGAGTAGGTCATTAAGCCTTTACCAGCACACCACTGACTGGGAGTATGAAGATATTGGGGGACCAGTGGTTTGGGTGGCACAGATTGGGAGCCTGGAGATGAGCTGAGAACCAGAGGGAGGATGTAGAGCATGGTTGAGGCCGCAGTGAGATGTTGAGATGCAGAGCTCCACTGCACATCCGCAGGTCAGAGAACGCTAAGGCTTCAAGACTGGATGTCATTGGCCAGTTAGATATCAAAACCAACCAAAGGGGTGGAGAGGGCCCTTTCCGTGTACCAGACAGAGCCTTCGGTTGGAAGAGAAACCTGTGTGAAAGTGCAAGTGAGTGACTACCTGGGAAGGGTGCAGGAGAGTAGCTGGTTGATACAAGCATCAGGCGTCTTCACTGTGAAGGTGGGAGAGGAAGTCTTTGGAATTGCAATATGCAGGATGCCGGTTCTGTTAAGAATGATTGTCTATAGTAGGGTTACATGACTGCTTGCTGGAGTCACTGTGCTAATTAATAACAGTTAATCCCTGCCCCCATCACAGTACCCTGCGCTTAGCAAGACCTCCCCTCCAGAATTGAAATTGGCCAAACATTCTGGTTTGCCCCAAACAAGCTATTGTCTTATATGTTTATCATAAAAAAAACAAACAAAAAATCACTTGTATCAACTGCTTCCTAGAACCTCCACAAACAATGGCTGTGCAAAGAGACTCCATGGGATGAAAAGACCTACAAAGACACTGCTGTGGGTCAGGGGGTTATTTGTAAGGAGTGTTAAGACTGGTATCTCAGCCTAGGCTATGGTTTAAACATTTGTATGCCCTAAGTCACGAGTTTGAATCCCTGCCCTCACCGTCACCACAGTAGAAGCTTTTTTTTTTTTTTTTTTCACTGAGAGACCTTTTATTAAGCAGGGGAGAAAAGTTAAAGTGGCTGCTTTCTGACTCAGGCAGAAAAACCGCCCACAGTAGAAGCTTTAAGAGGCGTTTAGATCATGGTGATGTGGTGACAGAACCCTCACAAATAGGATTTAGTTTGATTTGTGAGACCTCAAGAGTTACGGCGAGAAAGCAATCTGTGAGCTAATAAACTGGCCTTTGCCAGACAAAGGATCTGCTTGACCTTCACCCTGGACTTCTCGGTCTTCAAAACTGTCCAGATTTTACCTTTTTGTTTGTTTGTTGTTTTGAGACAGGATTTCTCTGTGTGGCCCTGGCTGTCCTGAAACTCTGTAGACCAGGCTAGCCTCAAATTGGAATGCCTCTGCCTCCCAAGTGCTGGG